GCTTTCACTCTGTTTTACAGACCCGGGTGGGCCATCGTCCGAAGAATGAAGAATTTCGAATGTATATGTCTAAATTCTTACAAAGAGTGCTTTTCACACTTCTCTCTACAAAGCTTGATATGAAAAACAAAGAGTCGAAAGCTAATGTCCTTAAATTTGTTAAAGAGATAGATGCGTATGTCAAGAACATGAGTGAAATTATTGCGGATCTGATGTTTCAGATCAGAAACGGAAGCCTGGGGGATTCTGCAGTGTGTATTTCAAAATACAGCGTGTTTTGCACAGAACCTGTGGTAACACCATTCCGCTGACTACGCAGGCAAATTTTTTTGCTCTGCTAGATCGGATCGCACAGTGTGGTTCGTATGGTTTTAGACATGGGGAGCGGAAAGGGATTATGAATGCTTTTTCAGATGCCTCAAAGTTTCTCAGCAATGTTGGGGTGGCGGTTACATGTACCGAACTAATTTTCTGCACCAACATTTAATTGTTGATTGCAAACAGGAGCCGGTAACGCGTGTGTACTGTAATGCTTCTGTGTTTGAAAACCTACCGTTGAAATAAAGCGGTTCACATTTCACATACTTGCAAACAGGAGTCTGTAACATTTGTGAAAAGTGTGTACTACGGTGTTTCGGTGCTTGAAAACCTATTGATGAAATAAAGTGGTTCGCTTTTCATATGCATGCATACAGGAGTCTGTAACATTTGTGAAAAGTGTGTACTACAATGTTTCTGTGTTTGAAAACCTATTGAAGAAATAAAGTGGTTCACATTTCACCTGCTGTTTGTCCTGCGAGTTCTTTCCGTGAGGCTTTACACAGTTAGTGTGTGTGTGCTTACAACCCTGATGCTTTTGAGACACGGCTTGTGCAGCGTATAAGCCACCTGGCCGAACAAACACTCAGCCACCCGACCGCTGCTGGCGGTGCTCACACCCCTGGATCTTGTGGCCCTCACCAGACTCCCCACGCGGCCGTAACTATAAATTCCCTAGGTTTATAATAGAGCGCACTCAACCCCGCGGAAGACATGGTCCCCTTCCAAACCA